TGGGGATAGAAAAACAGGTATAGTGTTATCATATCAGAAATCAAGGCTAGGTGGTCTGGGGGTACACTAAATTATGGTTAGACCTATGTGATAGCTGCTGTCCCAGAACCCCCAAGTTTGCCCTACTTGTACAGATAGATTGATTTTACATTTATCATCTGATTGGTGGGAAGCAAAATTTGAAGTGAAATCTTGGGCATCAAAACATTAGTCGTTGAAAAAGTTTCAGCACAATGCATCGCTTGAAGAAACTTGATATGCTAGTAAAAAGAAAGGAAGAAAATTTGTAAAAAAAAAAAGTCAAAATTAATTGGTATTAAAAAAGACGGCAACCCCTGATTATGTAATAAATTTGGCTACACAAACATGATCATCGCGTCATGATGTCATCTGATAAATGTTTACAGTACAGTATTTGTTTATTAGATAATGATAATTTTTTTTTCCTTTTTTTTATTGCAATACTATTTGACTTAAAAATGACTTTTTTTCGGGGCAATTTTTTTTGTTTTTTTTTCATTATTTTATTGTATTTAATGACTCTTCACTTTATTACTAACGTTAACTTTATTTATTTTCTTTAGATAATGAGATGGCTTCTTTTATTGAGATGTCTTTCTTGTTGTATTACTTTTTCACTTTATTTGAAATAATACTAACCAGTCTTTTCTTCATTCCTTTTTTTATGGGTGGTGTTCTTGATTGTTTTTTTCTTTGCTTTTTTTCGTTTCTCTATCATTTTTTTCACTTCTTTTTTGCTCTTTATTTTTTTATTTCCTTTTCCTTTTTACTTCTTTTTTATCCTCCTTCATCCTTTTATTTCTTTTATTTTTCATTATTATTTTCACTTTCTTTTCTTCTCCTATCCTTCTTTTTACTTTCTTCTCACTTCCTTTTCATCTCCTATCACTCTTTTACTTTCTTCTCACTTTATTTTTGTTTACTATTATCTTTCTCATTTCCTTTTCATCTCTTATCATCCTTTTACTTCCTTTTCACTTCCTTTTCATTCACTACATCTTTCTCACTTTCTTTTCATCTTCTATCACCCTTTTCACTTCTTTTTCATTTCTATTTCATCTTTATCATCTTTTTACACTTTCTTTGTCCTTATTATCCTTTTTACACTTTTTTGATTCCTTTTTTCATCCCACGCATTTCTTTTTATTTCCTTTTTTTCTTTCATCATTATTAACATTATAACTTCTTATTTCCTTTTTTTGCTTTTTTATTGGCATTTTTTCATTTTATAATTGTAATTTTTCTTTTTTTATCACTATTTATTTTCTTACCATTATTGTTAGATTTTTCAAAATAATTCATTAATTTTTATTTCTCTAATCAATAAAACATAATCAATAAAACAATTTATAAAGCATAAAATAATTTTTAAATCCACTAAATTTATAATTTTATAGTTTTAATATTGTATTAACAAATAAAATTTTACTGTAAATAAAATATTCTTTGTGAAATAAAAAAAAACAATCGATCAAAAATGAAAAATCAGCCAATTAAAATTTTATTAAGTCACGTGATAGGGTTGTCATGGTGACAGGGCTGACAGGTCGCCAAATAATGTTACTCTTTTTTATAAATGGTTACAAAATAAATTGCTTAGTAATGTAAAAAATCTTAATGTCATAATAAGAGTTTGTTTAGCAGGATTGAAAATAGTTTGCTTATTGATTTTAGTAAATTTTGAAATTTTCATTTGACCTATATATATATTGTTTGGGTCTTTTTACAGTACTAATTCAAAAATAGTGATAATTGGTTTTACTAATATTATACATTATTTTTTTTAAAATCTTATTGGAATTTAGTTGTTTTGATTATTATTGTTTAGAATAATAAAAAATTTTAATTTTTCAAAAAATTAAATTAATAATCAATTATCATTAAAAATGAAGATAAGTCCAGTATCTATTGATTCAATTCAGTACTTATATATAGATTTCCAATTGATTTAAGAAGAAAAAATTTAATTGCTTTCTTTTATAAAAAAAAAATATTAGCATTAGTAATCAAAAATCAGGAATTCACAGCCTCTAGCATTATTTCTTATCCCACAATTTTTAACAAAAAAAAATATAAATATAAGTACCAGTTGACTGTATGGATGGATGTCCCCCAGCATTACCCACAAATTTTTACCTATATATATAAAACTTAATTTTAGCCTAAATTGGCAAGCATTTATTTATTAAAATTTGAAAATATTTTTATAATTAGACAATTCATGATTTTACCAATCAGTGGAGCAACATTTTGCTGATCACTAATTAAATTTGGAAAATTGCAGAAATTAGCCATTAGAAACAAGATTTATACTTGTAAAAAAAGGTGGCTGAAATTCACATGTAATACCGTAACTACACACCTTAGGCCAGTCCAAGCCAATTATCTGTTTATCATAACTCCCCCCCTTATTTTATAAAATTTAGTCGAATAATATGCATTATGTACAGCCAATAAAATCACAGTATTTTAGTCATATGATATGATATTTCACTTTTAACACCTGATGACAACGATGAAAATCTATCCATAAAAGCAAAATGATTCGCGTTTTTTAATCACATTTTTACGCGTTTAGGGGGTGCTTTTAAATGGTAATATCTATTAACTTCTTTAACCAACATGCTTTATCTTTTGGTTCAAGTTAATGAAAGTATTAAACGTATAGTTCCCGAACATGTAGTGAGCATAGAATTTACAAATAATCAGTTTAGTGATCTTTTTGGTGCAGTTACATTAGGAGAATATGGTGATAGAGAAGTAGAAGTTTTTATTAGACGTGAAAAGTCTGAAATCTGGAAAAAGGTTGACAATGGGTTAAAAGGAAATTTAGAAATGTTAGAAGTTTTGAAATATTCTCAAGTTAAATTTTGTCTTATTGAAAAAACACATTTAGATACACCACAAATCACAAATACTTTAAATGCTTTTGATATTTTAATGAACAATTCATATCAAACTTTACTTCCTCAACATTGTACTGAATATAATGATTGTAATAAACTTTATAATGAAATTATTGATCTATTTCGTAATCAAAATGTTGGCTGGACAGGTGGTGTTCATGATACAATTGGTAAAGCATTTGTGAATCGTATTATGAATGCAATTTGGTATATTGATCCACATCTTTCTACTTTGCATGCACGTTCATGTAACTTGCCGGTCTTTTTTACACAACTAAAAACCTATCAGGATGGGGAGACGTATAATAAATTTTACCATACCAGTCATCATAAAAAAAACCCATTATCACGGCAAAAATTGGTTTACCTTTCAAGTTCTCTTGAATTATTTGTCAGTCAACCATGGGCGAATAATGATGTGTGGAATCAAGTAATTCCTGCAACTTTATCTTTAATTGAAATCTTAAAAAAATATGCAGGATATCTGACTATAATTACTACCAATATGAATATTCTTCATCATAGTGATGGAAGTGCTCACAATCCTGAAAATGATTGTACTATGTATCAAATTATTGCTTGTAAAAATGAGAATCTTAATGATATTTACAGTCAGCTGAATGATGTTTTACTTGAAAAACAGATGTATGAATATATTGATATTAAGCAATATCTTCCAATTGATATTATGAAACGATATCGGTTCATAAAAGAATTGCAGCTCACATTTCCAATAGGTGTATATAGGTTAGTATTAGTATTTGATATAAAAAATAATTTTTATAAAATATATAAACAATAATGTAATTTTATTTATTTTATTTTTTTAGATATCATCAAGGCAATTATTTAGGAACCATTAATTATGTGTGGAGGGTTCCAGAAAATGAAGATGAATTAAATGAAACTTTGAAAGCACGCATGTTGGCCAGGATTCATAAAGAATTGCCTCAGTATTTTACATGACAAATGCAAAAGAATGTATTAAATAAGGTAATAATAATTCAATCAATATTTAAATAAAGGTATTAAGCATTAATTACTATAATTTGCTTTAGTATTCTTATATTCGGAAAGTCATACCAGCTGTATTGCGAATGCTTCATTTTGATCTTACTGGAAATGCTGCTGTAACATCAGATGTTATTAGTCGTGATATAGAAGAAAGATTACGATTAATATTGACTTTAGCAGATCCAAATATTATATTTGATTTGCGGACAAATAATGGATTCAAAGGGATGAAGTTTAATGAATTCTGGAATGAAACAGATGCTTATTTCAATGAGCAGGTAAATATTTTACGTTAAAAAAAATATGTTTCAAACACATGAATGGCAAAATTGTGTAATGTATCAGGTATCACCAAATATACTGACACAAACACAAAAAAAAATCTATTTTGACCATTATT